TGCTCTCTGGGTCACGAAACTTTTAGCTAAAATGACATTTTAAAGACACTAAGTGGCAGGGTTTTGAGGGTAAAAGGGACCAAAAAGGCCACTCCAGCTGCAGCTGCGTGGACTTGATGACTGGTGTGTGCTGAAGTGAACTGCAAGCGTTCAAGGCATCACGATGGTGGTAGTTACTGTGGAGTCAGAACCGACTCACAGCTGACCCTCCAGCCCATTTTCAAGAGTAAATCACAAGGAGACTGCCATCTTTCTCCCGAGGGCCATTTAGTGGATTTGAACTCTGTGCCTTTGGGATGGCAGCACAGCTCCTTACTAGGCCACCAAAAGCTCCCCCAAGGGCTAATGCTTTTGATAAAGATCACCAGGCCGTTCTTCCAAGCCACCTCTGAGCAGATCTGAAACTCAGACCTTTGAATTCACACCTGAATGCCTAACCATTAAGCCACAGGGACTCCAGGGTGGAGAAGAGCTTTTTTTTTTTTTTAAGAGCCCTTATAAAAGAGGGAACTGCATCTGAAAACACAGCGGTCACAAGATGTAACACTGCACTCCAAGACCGTTAAGCAGGTCAGCACACAAAACGCTGGTCAGAGGTTTTAAAAAAATACAATGAAACCCAGTATTTTAAAGTCAGAGCTCTTTCTAGGTTCATCTGTATTTCTAAAAGTGGGAGAAACTGGACAACACAGCAAACAGGGCCACATCCCCACATGGACACCAGAGGCCACCATCCTCTATTCTTTTTCGTCCTGTCCACTTAAGGTGTCCTCTTTCTGGTCCAGGGCATCTAAGTCTGGGACACTATTCTACACATTCGATGTCCCTGGGTGGTGCCAACTGTGCCCTCCGCTGACTGCTAAGGTTCCTGTCCACCCGCAAGTGCTTTGGAAGCAGGGCCTGGTGAACAGCTGCTAAAATCCTACGGGCTGCAATTCTTCCCTCACAGCCCCCATGCTGCTGTGAGTCAGGACCCACTTGACAGCACAAGCAGCCTGTGCCCACTGTTAACGGGGCCCAGTGAGATGGTCAGCAGAGAGCAGCAGTGCTACACCCATAGTTCAAAAGGTCAACCAGGCAGCCCACTGGAGGACAGGGGCCCACTGGAGGGCAGGAGAATGCTAGAAGACAGGGGGCCACTGGAGGGCAGGGGCCACTGGAGGGCAGGGGGCCACTGGGGGGCAGGGGCCCATTGGAGGGCAGGAGAATGCTAGAAGACAGGGGGCCACCGGAGGGCAGGGGGCCACTGGGGG